TATCCAAACACTACACAATCACACAATCCTTACAACCAAACATCATTAGTAAACAATTTTTTGGATTTTTTTTTAAAACGAAAAATAAAAGAAAGTTTACTATTATTATTCACATATTCTTATAATTACCTTAAACCTATAAAATTCAATTCATATTTGTAATATTTTATTTTGTATATTTGAATCATGAATCGTATTTTTGAAGATTATGATAGTAAATAAATACATTTTATTAGTAAGTGATATATATTGACTAAAAAAAATTGAATTATTTCACGGTGGGATGCATTTCTATACCAAAAGTTGTAAAATTCATATATATAAACGAGTTTTAGATTCCGTATAATAATTTTTCTAATAACTATAGATGATGTTTTAAATTAAAGTTAGATTAATTTTACTCACATATCATATTATTCCGGGTATAACGCGGGTAACTATCTAGTTATTGTTAAAGTGAATACTCTTTAGAAATCATGAGAAGTGATAGGTAACCGAAAATACCGACTAAAATGCAAAAATTTTGACACTAAAGAACATAAACCAACAAAGAAAAGTGACAGTTTAACTAATTCAAGACCAAAGTGTAAATCATAATATAGATGACCAACAAAATCATAGTCAATGTGATCCAATTTATTTGCAAGTTCTTACTGTTATAGTCATTAGTCAATGTATACAAAGAAATAACAAAGAATTTCTCCCTAACGTTAGGCTAGAGGCCAGAGTTTTCCACAAAGTAGCTGAAGACTGGCAGAAAAACTTCCAACTCTCTAACTAAATCAAGAAGATATCAAAGTAATAATCACAATGGTAAAAACAACGTATAGAAACTATTCCTTGCGTAGCATGCATTATATACAAAACGGAGAAGGAAAAGTTCGAACAAAATATTAGTTTGGATCTTTAGGTACGATCTCCACAATATTTACTTTTTGCTCATTACGCGATTCCTATGGAGACAAGGACTTAAAATTCTTAGTTTTTGCAAGATACTTGTAACAACTAGCTCTACACAAAACTCACCTTATATCTCTATATAAATAGGAAGCCTTCTATAATGCACAAATCATCCTCTTGACTTGTAATCTTCCTATACATAAAAACAAAAAAACTCTTTCTAATCACTTATATTATTATTATTAGTATACATTTCACAATGGCTCAAAGCTCTAGCTCGTGGACCGCTAAACAGAACAAAGCCTTTGAGCAGGCTCTAGCAACCTATGACCAGGATACTCCCAACCGTTGGCACAATGTCGCCAAAGTCGTGGGTGGAAAAACAACCGAAGAAGTAGAAAGACACTATGAACTCCTTGTGCAAGATATCAACAACATCGAAAACGGTCGTGTTCCATTCCCAAACTACAAGACTAGTGGAAGCTGCACCAATGGCAGGCTGATTCAAGAGGAAAAGAGGTATTAGATCTTAAGCCACCAATTTGATAATCTACTCTATTTCATAATTTCAAAAATCAAGTTTTAAGATACATCATACATCA